GTTATGATCACTGAAGGATCAACATCAGTAGCTAAACGTCTCTAAATAAATAGGTTAAAATCTATGCTAAAAATTGAGTTACACCTATATAAATCACCATAGAACAAGTGTAGGATGTTCGAAATGTTGTAATATTGGACTGCCTTACTAACATGTAAAATGTACATGTTATCTCCAGCGAGAAGTTGAGCAGTGACAAATTCCTTCTGGAGAGGATCCACCCACAGATACAAAGAATATCTTAGACCTTGGGATTATAAACAACCATGTCAATAGGTCATCTATCATCTACCAACAAAGTCTGACATCTTGTTTGGCCAGTCCTCATTATTTATTACATCTCTTTTTACTTCTTATCTCCCCGTCTCTCATTCTGAGGTCTTTCTTGAGCAGCATCCCTTTTCACTCTTGTCTTGGTCTATATTCCGTCTCTTAATTTAAATCATCAGTTGAGAGCGACAGCGGAATTCATCTGTTCAAAAGGATAATACCATTATTTGGCTACCAATCCGACTTCTGGTAGACAATGTGTTTTACAATGTAGGCCTTATTTATCAAATTGTTGTAAATCTTGTTATCATTTTCTTGCATACACCTACATGTATATTCCTATAAGGCATTCATTTTTAACAATGCTAGTACAGTTTTAAAATTTGGCAGTAGTTTGCAACTGTTCCTTCTTCTCTTTCTTTCTCTTTGACCCCTCTCTCCACCCAAACTGATAATCATCGCAAAGAACTGCAAAAGTCACACCGGGTGGACGATAATGATCAAAAGAACTTAGAAAAGAAACTGGAATGTGTTATGGGGTATTGACACTAGGAAATTCTAATGGTTCACATTAGGAAATTCTTATGGTTCACATTAGGACATTCTTATGGTTCACATTAGGAAATTTATAAAATACAAAATATTTGTAAAGAAAAATAAGGTCTAAACTTAAAGAATTATTTGATAGTGGAAATTTAGCATACCGGTACACATGGGATGCATGATGCAAATGTTGTATAAAATAACATCTAATAAGGACATTTTGTCTTGGAGATGGCTGCTTATACATGTACCATATGTTTCGTTTCAGTTTACATCATCCATGGGCATTGCTTGATGGGATGAAAGAACAGGGGACGAAAGGACAGCTGACATTGTTCATGTCCGAGTGCCATCAGGCCCAGGATAAGCCGTGTACTAAATGTTGCTGGTCTGAATGAGGGGGGGGGGGGGTATGTCAGCCATGAACTTGGCTTTTGATTTGTTTGCTCAGACAGCTGCAGTAGAATGGAATGCACAAACAAGATTCATCTTTACAAATCACAAGGAAGATGGGTACTCAAGAGTGAAAGGATGAAAGAGTACCAGCTTTAATTCTTCAAGATTGGACCTCAAAAATACAAATAGGGTCTATAATATCCATCTGCAAAGAAGAAAATAAGTCTGAATCAAAGCTATAGTACAGGCAATAGCAGACTTGGCCTCAAATTTTGAGTTTTGTTTAAATGAAACCTTTTCGGGAAGAAGTCTGTACATCTTAATGAAAGACTACGATGATACACATGTAGATTATCCCTCTGACATGAACTAGTTCATTTCTGGTGGAGCTTGTGCATATGTTGTTACATTTACATGTACTTTAAACATGTAGGAATACATACCAAATTGGAAAATCTGACCTGAAAATGCCTTTCTACTACTTTCTACAAAGCTAAACTCTGGATTCTTATCGATCAGTACTATTACTACAAAAAAATTGTAAATTGTTATGCACTGACATATCGTGACGGTTTAAAATAAAATAATATATTCAAATTGACTACACCTACATGTAGGCTAATGTTCATGCAGTGAAGAGATTTCAAGTTGTGAAGAGGTTTTAAATTCATATGAACGCATTCTGTGCACCCATGCTATTACTCTTGCTGAGATTCAAATGACTGGAATGAAATTTAGTGAGAAGTTCACCTGCGTAGCACAGTTTGACGTTTCATGTCTCATTCGCTCCACTTGATTCTTGAAGCCCTAATTCCTCTAGAGCTACAGCCTTCTTGCTGCTATGTTCCACATGTCATTAACACTCATAAGATGACATCTTATTGCTGCATTTGATCTTCTTCATCATGCTTTTTTGTTTTTCCCCTCAATACTTTGTCCTATGATGTTGCTTAATAATTAATGAAGGAACTGCGCTCTTGACTCCACTTCTAATTACGATAGTCTAATGTCCTCGAAAAGAAAATGATTCAGAGCAAAATTACACCTAGAGAGAATCTGATGAACGTATCTTCTCAGTCAAATATCTTTTTTGTTTTCTTCATCTTTGAAAGAATGTTTCATTATCGGTACTTTAATCAGGTAGCTCATATTCATGCACGATTTCACATAAATTCAGAGTACCAACTTCCATCCCATATTTTCTATCCTACATTGAATAAGTACGAGACAGAACATACATGTACATGTACATGTAGCAAGAAGGAGTGGGAACGAAGGAGACATTAATAAAGAACTCTGCAGTCACTGAGTAAACAGATGCCTTAAGATAGTCACATCAATTACAGCAAGATATGAATTCAATTTCCTACACCTGAGACGATTGTATGTCCATCTCTAGTTTTATCTCATGGTTCTTACCCCACCCTCACCGTACTCACACCCAATAAGATAATCAATAACTAAAGAAAGCATAGCCCTGTCTCCCTCCTAGCTATTTTCTCAATCTAGAGGCAGTGAAATGTATTTTAGGCAGTAAAATAAGCCTCTTTGAACGTCATTCCCATGAAAAGTAGACATCATTCTCTTATCTTGTTTCTCAGAGTATAAAGTAAAGTTCCGAAATTAATCTGCGATAGCTACAGGGACAGGGACCGGATTCAAGTAACACTGAATAATTCAGAGAAGTCCGCTCGTATTGATTTTAATTAGAGGGATCTTTGTGTTTCATCCTCTGCAATATATGGATGTTTGTGAACTTGAGGCAGTGCCTGTGGACGAGTTATCAACTTGATATTGTGGAAAGCTGAAGGAAGAAGACGGATACCTGGAGCTTCAAGTCTTGGATTTTCTTGTCTCACTCTTGTTCCAATTTTTGTTTTCACTATTGACTTCCTTCCCAACACTATGTAATATAAAAGGATCAGCACAATCAATCAGATGACTACCAACATGTACATGTATTTGTGGTCTACTTTGAGACTAACATAATAATTTTCTGCATCAGATTTGGTTCACAATTCTACAAATGATCTAGGGCTGCACACTTGAATTCATTATAACCATAATTCATGAATTCATAAGGTACATGTACCCGTCGTACATACTTTCTCTGCTAAAACAATTTGGCCTAAAATGTATCTTAGAACTTCACAGCATTGCTTGCAGTGGGGCAACCTGTACCCAATTCAACTTCTTTCAAAAAGTATTTACTACCATAACTTCTTTACATTTAATGATTTGTAAGAACTGGTCTAAAAACTTAATGGTGGAGCTAAATAAAACATTCATACATGTACATGAAAGTCCTATGCAGTGTACTACCAAAACATGAACTATTGGTACATGTACAACACAAAGAGTGGTTCTAATGATTTCTCATAAACTTTCAGTAAATTAATCTTTTCTCCCAACACAAGCAAAGGTCCATAAAAACCAATGGGCAAGATTTATGTTTATCAAAATAACAAGTAAATGGTTTAATATTCCCAATTTCTAAAGTGATGTACAAGTATATACATTGTACATCCTCAAATAAATCAAATATAATTGCTAATGGATTCCTTCTAGGCAGAAAACAGTCTTGAATCATAAATTAATATATTCACCCCCCCCCCCTCTCTCTCTCTCTCTCTCTCTCTCTACCCTCCATCAAGAAAGAACACATTTCCAAACGTGACCCCACAGCACTGGACACTGTCACATCCATTTTACTGCCTGACTTAGTTTCTTTGTGGAGTACTGGATAAATAAACGATGGTTTCTTGCCTAGCATACCTGACCTTCTTATTCTAGTGAGTCAGACATGAGTTCAAGTCCAGGTTAGGATGTTAAATCAAGGCATTGTATCGAAAATCTGAATGAATAAAATCACAACTAGTTTCTACTTGAGTCTAAATTTCCTCTCTGAAATATGTTTGAAGAAACAAGGCCTTGGTTCTGAAAGAATTAACTAACTGTTAACATAATTCACATCCTCTGTTTTAGCAAAGATTGAGAAATTAAATGCTACTTAACAAATCAATTTTTTTGAAGAGGACAATTTAGAACACCTTCTAAGTAACAATTTCTTTGTGGACATTTACATGTATGTAATATTCAATTGCTTCATGAATTTAATCATGAGCTCAGAATCTAAAGAGATGCAGGGGAAAAAAAATAAGCTTAAAAAGTTAGCACATAATCATTGAGAAGGTCTTCTTCATGTTATTAATGTTTAATGATTACTCTTTGACAAATTCATTTATTTCTGACTAAACTTGCCAAATGAAACTGGACAAATTAAGTCATTAACCTTGTCAAACAGCTGAAAAGTTCAAGACCCGGGGCTACTTCAGGGTACACTATCCATAGTATCCCAACCAAATCCATCAAGAGCTGATTTTGCCGAACAGGAAGTTCAGGAACAGGCAATTATAATCCAGTTACCTAGGTATTCACCTGGGCAGACAAAGATGTTTTGTTTTTCAGCCTTTTAATTTAATGTAGACCTTAAATGTATAAATGTGAAATAATCAGTAATTTTCTTGTTAAGCTGGTGCTACATGTACATGTAGGTCCTGGTAGTCACGTTCATTCTAGTTGAAATTTCAGCTGCCACTCCCTGCCAGGTTTGGGTGGACCAAACCTGTATATATTTTGAAGTTTATCACATGAAGAAATGGAAGTCTTAGACACATTGTATCCAGAGGAAACTGGAAAGGGTATCACATATGTAAATTGCAAATAATGTTATTATGGAGATGAAAGGAGACATTTAAGGACAGGATTGGGATTGTAAAGAGTATACTTACATGTGACATTGACGTTGGCTGGATCACTAGACATTGGGGCTTCAGCAGTTGAGCTTGGTTCCACCACACATCTGTACTGCCCCGCATCCTCCCTCGATACATCGCCAATCTTGAGACTGTTACTGGTATCCATGAAGATCCTTGATGAATCCTCGACAGGGACATTGTTGAGGGTCCAGGAGAAGACCACATTCTCAGCCTGGTCTACTTCGCAGGATAAGATGATACTGGTTCCTTCCGGTATCGTCATACTCATTGGCTGGATTGTGAATACCAGGGCTTCACAACTCCATAGCACACATACAACTAATGGGAAGAAAACAAGAGAAATGCACATTTCAGAAAATGAAAGCTTGGACCAGTCATAGCGTAAGTACATTACAACAACATATACATGAACATACATTTTACATTTTGGCCTGCTGCAAATATCACCTATTAGAGGCAATTTCTCCACAAACAGTTGATCCTGATTTCTATGGATGTTATGTATACATCATCGTACAACATGTAATGTTAGTTATGTAACAGAATATTGGACATATTGCTTTTGTTTGATATGTTTTAAATCAAATTTAGATTTACAAAAACCAGGTTCAGTTATTCCTGACTTCTATGTAGTGTACATGTACAGTATGTGAGTACTTTTACAATGTTAGATTTGGGGCGATGTATGAGCACATATATAGGCCTTAATACAAGGCTGTGGGTAAAAATTCATGTTATTCTTCTAGTCAAGTCAACATACATTCATAATAATTAGTTGATTTTCAGCATTGCAACCAACTGACAAAATATATAATGAACATTTAACACATTTATCAATTTACAGTGGCGTTTGGGTACATGCATACATGTATATAAGTAGGCCTATAGCTTTGTGGAGCATTTTCATTATCATGGCTACACTATTACTCCCAGTTACTGTGCATATAACCCAATCTTATTGGCCACGCACAAACCATCTATTCTGACCCAAGCTTTTATCTCGATCTACCCAAGATGTATACAAAGAAGCACTCAGCTCCTTGTAAGTCAATATAAAGAATGAGTGATGACCAGTCCAAATAGTTTATCTCCTGACAGATAGTGTCTTTGTCTTTGTGATTTTGTCTTTGTCCTCTGACCAACTTGATTATATCTTTACGATTAACGGAGCAAAACCATAAATGCTAAACTCTAATCTAGGCTGTTTTTTTTCTTTCTATGGAACAGGGAAAAAAATACTTTACAAATTTATAAGCTTGCTTGCATGAAAATAACACTCTTTAATTTGTTATGCATTGAACTCTACGCAAATTTTGGGGGCTGTTTTATGACTTTTGGGGGCTGTTTTATGACTTTCGGGGGCTAATTCGCCAGAGCCCCCGTGTATTTTTTTCACTGCTATGGAAGACATGACATGTACATCATCAGTACATGTAAGCTGTGTAAAAATACATGTATGTACAAATGTACATGGAGTACACCTCATTTCTGCATCGAAAATAAGAGTGAAGACAAATAAAGTAGATTACATGTACATTTACATAAAAATCAAAAGCCAGCTATTAACTAACATGTTTTATGCACTCAATTTGTTCATGAACATGTACATATACATGTAGCTGCTGGTAAGCTGTGACTGCTTACAAAAATGATACACAAAGAGTTCAACATTTAACATCTAATGTATGAAACTTGATTAAACGGAATTTAATTTTTGTCTTGTCTTTGAATTCAACTACTTGTTGTCATTGCTGCAATCCCTTCTATGAATATGGGGACATGAGGAATACCATCTTGCAAGAAGGCCTACACATTTAAACACAGTTGAAAAAATGTTGTATTTTACACCATTAAAACTTTTTTTCCATAATCAACTGTCTGTTTATTTTTAACTTTTTAAAAATATCTCTTTCATGTCATGATGAATTGGCTTTGTGTATTTAGCAATTTGTTTTACTAAGGTATTTTACAGGATAGCAAAATTTGATATTAAGAGGACCAACTCTTCCAAATTGGTCAGGGTTTTAAACCAAGATTTAAAAAACCAAAATGTTTTTATGAATACTGGTTCTGTATGTTTTGACTCTCACTCCTTGAGCTTTAATTGTAAATCTACTGTAGTATCATTACTTTTCACTTTCTCTGATTTCTGCCTTCTGTATTCAACTACAGCATCATTAAATTAATGTATTAACTCATTTAACTGTATCAAATCCAACTTATCAATCCATTTCTGTATCTCCTTTTCTTCCACCCCCCCCCCCCCCAACCATTTGTCCTTCCTTCTCTCTCTCTCTCTCTCTCTCTCTCTCTCTTTCCTATTGTACTTTACAATCTAGCAATTCAGAACAAAATAGAAAGAGTGAAATCCCATTTGTACAATCCTAAGCCTACAGACAGAGCGGCAGTCTGTGAATAGAGGGTACAAAGGGTCACAAAAGAGGCAAACCACAGAGCCTCAATCAGGTGAACAATAGGACATACTACACCCCCACAATACACCCATACCCAACCATTCCAGCTAGCTTCCAACAATACACGAGAGGTAATATGTGCCACAGAAAGGCCAATCTATGAGAAACATTGTCCTTTGTATAACATAAGTAACTGACTACTGCAACAGAGACAGCAGCCATGTAAGACGAAGAGAGAGAGGAAGAGGCAAGCAACACCTCTTTTTTATCTAGTTTTCAGCAGTACTGGACAGTACATTGTAAACCATGTTGGTCAACCTACGAGTGGTTCTGCTTGACCATTTATCTACCGTGCTCTTTGTCAAACTGAGCTGAGAGCCCTAAATAGGCATGGTGTATGAATGGGAAGGCAAGATGTTATTGATGACATAAGTGAGTGTTTGTGTTGCTAATCAATGCAGCTTAGAAGTCTGGCTGGCTCACCAATGACGGCTCACCAATGAAGGCGTTCCAGAAGGAATGTTTGATCAAAACAGCAGTCAAACAAAAGTCTGAAAAAAGTGCAAATGGTCTGCAAGAGTTTGATCAAAACATTCAAGGAATATAATAAGGACATTAAAGGGGAGGTCCACTCTGATATTATATTGGTTTTAAATAATAGAAGCAGAAAATGAGAGTAATGGGTCAGTTAAAGTTTGAGCAAATTCTGATCAAAAATAAGAGAGTTTTGAGGTTGCAATCAATCAAATAAAAATTGGCAACGCTTCAGCAAGCAGAGCTTGCAAGTTCTGTACAGAAAACTTTATTAACTTACATTTTTTGCATCATTGATTAGATTTTTACCATACAAGGGTTGTATAGAAATATATATGCAATAATTATATTTAGGGTACATGCATGATTGTAAATTTTCTTAAAGGAAAAATCAGAAATTTTAGATTTTTTCAGTAGAGAGCAAATGGGAGAGGAGCTTGCAGGATACGTCGCAGAGTTAATATGTTCGATTGGGAATGGAACACCTTCCAAATCAACTATCAGTCTACAGACTCATCAACCATGGCTCATTTTCATCAAGATCTTGGTTTTTCTTTTTTTAAGCAATGGCAGAAATTTCACCTAGTTTTGTTACTTGTAAACGTACATACTCAAAACATCGATGAAGGATGCCAGTTTTTGACTTTCCTTACTTCCACGCAATGGCATGCAGAGCAGTGACAAGTCGCACATACACCACACACTAAAAAAGTGAATGTGCAAACACAGACCCGTTTTTGATGGGTTTTCCCAGTAAGGTAAATGGCAGTAAAAAAAAATGTTCAAAATGGTTATGGGGGCTGTGTAAAGGGGTGTAAATGGGCCTTCTCATGCACTATCCCTGATTTTTGTTTTTACCAACTATGTTTTTCACTGTCAATTGCAGGATTTATTACCACAAATTATTTCACTGGGGCCTACAGCTTTACAACTTGCTTTCATGTAGGTCTAATCATATTTCTCTTAGTTAAATCAGTACTCCATATATTGATATTGACCATTTATCTTTGTTTTTTATTATGTATCATTGAAAAAAAAAAAAATTTGCACTTTATTTGAAATGTATATGTGCATGGCTCAGATCAAGGGTACACTTAGATTGAGCACTGGGAAATTGTTCAATTATCCAAAACCATGAGACCCAGACACAAATTAGCATTTTTATATTAAAAAATACCATTGGTGGAAGCTCCAAACAAGTTTTCAGAAAGACACCGAGTTATGTACGTTACTACCAATCAAAATTTGAAATAAATTATAATAATGAATCAATTTATTTCTTTCAGCATGAATTGCACCCTTCTGCATTTTCATTTAAACAAACATTTATTGAATTTAAGGAACAAGAAGTTATAATTTGAATGTAAAACTACTTACTTTTGGTGTCCACAGTTATGTACGATTAAGTACAGAAATCTTACATTTCAGTCCTGAAAAAGTAGTTTACAAACTATTTACACATTGCAAATTATGTTTCATTCAGGAAACACATCATTCCTTCAATTGAAGTCGTTATTAGACTAATGCAAAAACATATCTGACAATAAGGCAAAGAGAAAGCATGTAGAGAATAAGATGTACTGTACATAACTCGGTGTCCACATTTGTTTTGGCCATATTCTAATAACTAGATTGAAAAAAGTTGATATGGCAATGGTTTTAAGTTTTGTTTACGGTATTTTTTAACATCTAATGTACTTTGTCAGAAAAAAATTTAAATTATAAGAAAAATATCAGCATGAAGTGGACACCGAGTTATGTACGTAACATTTTTGATGATGTGATATTTGGCTACTGATTGCCGTTTAATGGCAATTTGTTAAGGTCTGATTTTTTAGATATTTGTAGCATAATGTTTGCAGATTACAAAAATAATGTTGCCACAGCCTATAATTGACTTTTAAAATTCACCTCGTATGTAACGCTTTTGTGCCCTTGATCAGAGCAATGCACATATGTAACATAAGAAATATGAAAATAAATTAAATGAAATGATATCTACCAGTAATACAATGAATGCAACTCAGATCAGTGCTCTTAACAAAATGTGTTTAAATTTGTTTAAAGGTAAAGACCAGTATTGGAAACGCCCCAATTTCAAAAAATGAAATGGAAGCTCTCATTACCAATCATGTGAAAGAATATGTTTTGACTAATACATGATAAAAAATTTGCCGGGAAATCGCCTACTAATTCATATATTTGCTAAATTTGTTTCTCTCATGGTCTGTGAGAGATATAGGGTAGTCCCATATACATCTTTCTGTGTATAGTGCTTGTAACTTTACGAAGAATGGGCCAAATTTCTTATCATTTTGATGATTCCAGAACCTTGCAGATGCTAGATGCTAGATGATCAACCTTTTCTGATCGATTCCACAACGTTTCTTTCACAATGCAATCGCATGACTATAACTGGTCTTTACCTTTAAAGCTTAAACAGCTGAATAGACATCTTTCCCAATAAATCCAGTATACGGCTTCAGCTGTTCAGGTAAGTTACACATATACTGTATATGCTGTACTGTACAAAGAGTGTTTATGGAATTTAAAAAAAAATAATAATCCAGACCCTCTTTTAAAAAGCCAGTACGGAGCCTTGCCAAATGCATAATGAAAGGTTGAAACCATAGTTTAGATTCCGGCTACGTTCACAAATTCTTAAAACTGGTACTGGACTGCTGCATTTTTTTTTTTTGACAAATGTCTGTCAGGTGTCACACAAAAGGATCAATCTGTTCACTGAATTCATGCCAATGCAGGGGAAAAATTCATATTTATTTTTCGGGGGCTATTTTTCAAGCTTGCCTGCATAAAAATAACACTCTAAAATTTGTATTGCATTGAACTCTATGCAAATTACGGGGGCTCTTTTGGGCATTTCGGGGGCAAATTCACCCTGAGCCCCCAAGTATTTTTTTCACTTGCCAATGTGCTAAGGATTGAATGGCAACATCCATCAAAGAGGTTTCTTCATCATCCCTAAATCCAGAAAGGATAAGACTTTAAAATGACCATGTTTCAATTATCAAAACTTATTGATAGCTCTTAATACAAAATATTAAAAAGTGAAGGAACCATTTGTGAAAATATTCAAAGTAATATATACTTAATAAGAGTAATAGTTGATCGGTTGTCACACGAAGAGTGACAACCGATCAACTATTACTACCACGATGATCAACCTCTTCCGTAATATATACTAGGTCGAAAGAGGATAAATAGTCCATTAACTTCCTAATGTTGTGATAGTTTACAATTTTAAATGCAAAGAGGATAAATAGTCCATTAACTTCCTATATGTTAATGATATGTTGTGATAGTTTACAATTTTAAATGCAAGGCCCCCCCCCCCCCCCCCCCCCCATCCACACTGTGGTCCACACAGAGTGTCCCCTAATTCCAAATCACCTCATTGACATTGCCTCCTATTTCATACATGATATATTTTTCTCTCATCCACTCATTGCAATATCAGGAATAATATAAGGATAATAAATACAGGCATTTAAAATTTAATTTCAGGTCAAATTAATTCAAACGGTCACAGATATGAGACTCCCCGTCGAGCATACAACTTCACAAGAGCTCGGCTTACTACTGAACGTAACTCTAAACCGAGGCAAGCCTTGTCTGCTGGACTGGCATTTTGCTCACGTCCGTGCAGTAAGCCACTTCCACTGGTCCAACCAGGCCAGGAATACTCACCCAGTAAACACTGGAATAGAAACGTCCCCATTGTTGGATTTATTCGATCCGTGTATGGCACCACATCAAGGTATCTAAAATAAAGTACTTCGTAATATTCCGGAAAAGTTCCACGAAATATATCACAGCATGACTGAAAATTCAGGCCGGTGAAGAGTGTCGAGTGAAGTGAAAATCAAATCGCTACCCTGGCGGCAGTGTACGTACGTACGTACGCGTATGGCAATCCCGTATGGAAGGCCAACCCCGCCATAAACTTAACTATTAACGTAACCAATAAGGAAACACTAACGTACACTTAGTATCCAATGATTTTACAGAGTAGCGCTTGCGTTACTAAACAGTTACGTTAGTCAAATGATGTATACTTATTTTTACCATTATTTTACTTACGTAAGCTCTTTAGTTTTCATTAACGCAATTGTCTAAGTAATTCAGTAACGTAAGTAAAACACACTACCGTTAGTTTAATGTTGACCAATCATACCCATCGTTGCATGCCATAGAAACACACACCGATCTTTTTTTCTATAGCTAGAGCTAGAGCTAGCTAGAGATCGGTGATACCATGGTGATTCAGTCGTGATCGTAGACATAGGCTTAAGAACCGGGGAGGGGGGCTTGCGGGGGCACAGCCCCCCAATGAAAAATCTTGGGGGGGGGGGCTCAGATATCATTGAACCCCGCCCAATATTTTTGGCGGGGCTTATAGATATCATTGAGCCCCCAATTTTGTGGTGGGCTTAGATATCATTGAGTCCTTAGGGGCGCAGATACCATTGAGCCCCCACTATTTTAAGTGGGGCTCACATATCATTGAGCCGCACCCAATACTTATTGCGGGGCTCGGATATCATTAACCCCCATCTCCCCTATCATTATATTCTAGGCATGAAACTCATGTATACCTATAATCTACAGACTTACCATTCAAATATAAACATTTTATAAATATTTATTTGGGGAGGGGGGGGGGGGGCTCAGACATCGGATCTCGCATAACATTGACCCCCAAAAAATATATGCATCTCGGATATAATTGAGACCCCCAAATATTTTCTTGGCGGGACTCTGATATCATTGAGCACCCCCTCCCCTTATTTTGGTAGGGCTAAGATATCTTTGAGCCCCCCCCCCCCCCATATTTTGGAGGGACTCAGATATCATCAGCCCCCCCCCCCCCCAATTATTGTTGGTGGGGCTCGGATAATATCACGGAGCCCCCGATATTTTTGTGGGCTCGGATAACATCACGGAGCCCCCTGATATTTTTGAGGGGCTCGGATATCATCGAGCCCCCCCCCCCCCACCCCCTCCCAATATTTTGTTCGGGCTCGGATAGGCTATCATTGATCCCGCCCTCCCAAATATATTTGCACACTTATGTTCTGGGCTTGAAGCTTTATGCGTTTCTATAATCTACAGATCGACTTAGTATTCAAATTATTATTAAAACTGACAGTTTATAAATATTGGGAGATTGATTGAGGGGGGCTTATAGCCTTGCATTGCATTGGAGTAAGATCATCACAGGCACATCTTCATCTCCCCGGACTTCATCAAGTAATTTTTTTAAAAATAATTCATTACCCTTTTTTAATCAGATCTGATGTAGGCGGAATGATATCGTATGATTTGTTTTTTATAGTGGTCAGAAAAAAATATCATTCCATTAACCGCGATCAATTCATAGGATGTGAGTTATGACTGTCTAACGTTACTATTGCCAACAAAACTTTGTTTCCAGGAACACAAGAAGAGAAAACTTCTTTGGCACATTTGTCTGAGGCTGCATGTGAAAGCTCCTCAAAAGAAGAAAAGTCTGAAATTTTTTCGCTGCGATGACATAGACGAGGAACAAACAATTTATTTCCAGGTGCAAATTAAAGACGAAGGAGGATCTCAGAATTTTATTTTTTGGGCGGTGCCACATTTCAGTTTTTTAAATGTCCGATTATAGGCATGTGTGATAATAAAAGTTTTGTTTTTTACGTTCCTAGCGTATTATTTTTTCCAAAGGTGTTAAATGTGTGTTATTTTAACACCTATTACTTTGTTTAACTTAATATAAAAAATCTGAATATCTTACAATTCAACGATTTCTTCAAGTAGGCCTACTTTTATTAATTTCTTCAACTGAAAAGGAGTCGAGAAAGGTACAACGAATCGTCTTCTTTCGCTAGTAATACGTCAAAGCTTCCGCGCTTCGCGCAGGAGGAGAGGAATGAATTCAGACAAGGATTAAGAGTCGAGAAAGGTACAACGAATCGTCTTCTTTCGCTAATAATTTAATGAAACTTCAAAGTTTTCGCGCTTCGTGCTGGAGGTGGAGGAAACTGACATCAGATAAGGATTAAGATTCGAGAAGGTACATCGAATCGTCTTCTTTCTCTAATAAATTAACGAAACGTCAAGGCTTCCGCGATTCGCGCGGCGGGGGGGGGGGGAACTGATTACAGATAAGGATCAAGAGTCGAGAAAGGTCCAACGAATCGTCTTCTTTGTCTAATAATACGTCAAAGCTTCCGCGCTTCGCGCAGGAAGGCCGGGGGGGGGGGGGAGAGAGAGACTGAATTCAGACAAGGATTAAGAGTCGAGAAAAGTACAAAGAATCGTCTTCTTTCAGAGCTTCGGCGCTTCGCGCGGGGAAACTACCCCCCTCCCTGCTTTGCGCGCTCTTTAAATGATTCGCACTCAAAGGGTGCTCATTATCGCCCCCCTAAAATAAAATCCTAGCTACGCGCATGGAACCACGCCCTTTGCCTACCCACTCTACATTATCAAGTCATTATATCGAAACATTTCGGCTCGCGCTTTGTGCTCGCATGGTTTAACTGCATATGGAATTCCGAACGTGATTTAAACCTCCGACGCCATATTTCTTTAATATATTTAACCCATGTTAAAAACAATTATTTCAGGGGATTTATTTTAAATATCAACGGTTTAGAATGCAGTGATTTCAGGTCATAGAGAGAGAGAAGAAAAATATCCTATTGGGTATATAATTTATACCGAAAAGGCAAAAAATACTGTGTTTCAAATTAATCACCGTACCCCCCCCCCCCCTCCCTAGTGGGTCTAAAAATGGGGATAGAGCAAAGAGAGAAGAAAAAGGAAGACTGTCTAAAATGGTGACAACGGGGGGGGGGGGCAGTCGGGGGGGGGGGGGATCTTCAAACAGCGGGTCAAAAACAAATGATGGAGCCCCCCCCCCCCCCCCCCGCATCCTGAAAATCTTCCTAAGCCTATGGCAGATATGCATAATATTTATTGATATCCACCACGTGTTCGTCTACAATATTTGATTTTTAACTTACTAGTCTCGAGTATGTTCCAGGCATACTCGTGATACAGGCCCCGCAGTTGGGGGGCGTGTATGACCAGTATACTTTAAGAGTCTCCTACAGGCCGCGCAACGGCGCACAGTGGGCCAGGGAGGGACCAAAGTGCGCCAAAACTATTTTGGGTGATTTATTTTTTTCAATTTTTTTCTTGCCCAGTTGAAAGGTAATACATAGAGGAATACCTCAGTGAAATATTTAATTCCGGTATGCACAATAAGGGTATAAATTTACTACTTCAATCAGCAAAATCCTACATATTCACAGTTTTAGTGCAAAAGTGACCTATTTTATAAATCTTTCAATTCAACATGAAGTTTTTAAGTTATTGATATGAAATTGCTCTCACATATTCCTGATAGTTCATTTCGTTGAATGAATGGGTTAAAATGAATAGAAACACAATCTTCATGATATATTATAGGGTAATTCATTGAAAAATGGACTAATTATCCATGTTTTTTATAAATCCAGAAGAAATGTTTAGATCTCCGCGGTGTACCGCTTAAATTTTAATACCACCCTTTCCTCTGATGTCTAAGCTTCCAGTTGATACCAAATTTGGCTGCCCGATCTTGCCCGTTGTCATGTTAGAGCCGATTCCCCTTGCCACATTGTCCCGAAAAATATGTTTGTTTTTAGTCCGCGGCTGAATCATGAAGGATTCGCGGTCATAAATCACGTCGCTTGGGGGCGCGTGACACTTGTTCTGACACCGCGGACCATATAAACACATTTTTTCGGGGCAATGTTGCAAGGAAAACGTCTCTAACATAATAACGTGCACAATCGGGCAGCCAAATCTGGTATCAACTTAAAGCTTAGATATCAGAGAAAATGTTGGTAATACCATTTAAGCGGAAATCCCTGGACATCCAAACATTTCCTATGGATTTATAGAAATAAATCCCCAGAAATTAGTTTTGGCGCACTTTGGTTCCTCCCTGGCCCACTGTGCGGCGTTGCGTGTTCCACAACACGGACATGGGGGCCTGTATCACGACTATACTGTATACTCGTGAACAAGGCCCCATCTTATGCATTTTCATGACGGACAGCACGGTAGTATGGCAAGCCGTTTTATCATTTAAACATATTTCTTGATATCAAGAATTACCATTGCTTTACAACGCAAAATTATTTCTTGATATCAAGAATTCAATTCTTGATATCACGAATTCGATTTCTTGATATCATGAATTCGTTTCTTGATATCAAAAATTCATTTCTTGATATCATGAATTCATTTCTTGATATCAAAAATTCATTTCTTGATATCAAGAATTCATTTCTCCCTCCGATGGTAGGGAAAATTCTAGCATTTTACTCTCTGAAAATCCATTTTTTAGGTACAATTTTGAATACCAATATACATGTAGCAAAACAGCGGCGCGGGACGGAGCTAAAAGTGTATTGGGGTGTTTCTTAGATAGCCTGACTTGGCCCGTCAATTCACTTCGTTTAGTACGTCTTGTCCCTAGCGGGGGGCCTCTCCCTCCCCGTTAACAAGAGAGAGAGAGAGAGAGAGAGAAGGAAAAGAAGGGAAAGGGAAAGAGGAGAGAAAGGGAAAGAAAGAAGAGGAAGAAGAAAAGAAGGAGATCGGGGGAGGGCCTCCCAGGCTGTTGCCCCCCCCCCCACAACAACAAAAGAGAGAGAAGGGGGTAAGGGAAAAAGAAGAGCTAAAGGGAACAAAACAGAGGAAGAAAAGAAAAAGGTGAAACGTAGGGGAGATCAGTTGCGATTAATCCCGCCAAAAAATGTAGATCGGGGGGAGGGCCGAAACGCCCTTGCCCACCTCCCAGGAAACTTAACAGAGACAGAGAAAAGGAAGGAAAGGGAAATTGAAATGGAAAGAGAAGAGAAGAGAAAGGGAAACAAGGA